GATTGCAGGATCTACAGACGTTTAATTGAGATTTGGAATGGTGGAAATTGATGCTATCAGTGTCCTCGATATACAATAAAAATAGCATTGTGTGTATCTGGGATACTGATAAGTTCAATTTGCACCATTCCAATTTCAATCAGGCGTCTGTGGTTCCTGCAATTACACAGAAATTTGTGTTGGGTGACGTCACTAATCGCAAAATATGCCAAAGTCTCTTGCGATTAGTGATATCATCAAGTAATTAGTGGTTCCTGCAATTACACAAAAATTTGTGTTGGATGACGTCACTCATCGCAAAATATGCCCAATTCTCTTGCGATTAGTGACATCATCAAGCACTTAGTGGTTCCTGCAATTACACAGAAATTTGTGTTGGATGACGTCACTAATTGCAAAATAAGCCCAAGTCCCTTGCTATTAGTGATGTCATCAAACACTTAGTTTTAGTGGAATTGCAGGATCTACAGACGTTTAATTGAGATTTGGAATGGTGAAAATTGATTCTATCAGTGTCCTCGATATACAATCAAAATAGCATTGTGTGTATCTGGGATACTGATACTGCCCAAGTCTCTTGCGATTAGTGATGTCATCAAACACAGTTGCCCCCAATACACATAAACTATTTTAGAAAACCTTTTTACAATCCCTTTAACATTTTATATTATATTTGGCAATTTTAAACTGTCGGGAGATGAGTCAACATCCTTCAAGCTGGTCTCGAGTCTGAGTAAATCTCCTCTCCTCCCCTCTGACTTCAAGTAAAGTTTGGGATTTTTACTGTTATAAAAGATTTATTATGAATAAACTTAAATAGAAGAATGTTTTTTTTAAATTACTATTACCTATCAAGTATAGTACATGTGAGAAAAGAAACAATTAAACACTTCCGGCATTTTCTATTCCTATGCCTTGCAGAATTTTATCCTTTCTGCTTGCACTCCACAATCTGTTGCATCTGCTATTAGCAGGAAAACGAAAAGGGTCGGTTGATAAGTCCATGAAAAAGCATATTATTTAAGCCAGATCAAGGGCCACAAAATGAATGATCAAATACAAACAAGATTCCGGAAAATACGTGTGCAAAACTAAAGGAAAATAAAAAATGTTATATTAAAATTCGTCATTAAAATGAAAGTAGGTCAGTTGGGAAATTTGTTAAATTTTCAGTAAGGCATTTGGCGACAATTTCAATAATAGGTCAGTTGGCAACAGTTTCATTAGAAGGTTAATAGGTCAGGGGCTTTAGAAGGGCAGTAGATAAATAGGTCTTAAAGTTCCACAAGAAGAGCAGTGGTTAATAGGTCAGTGGTCCATTGTTTCATTTAAGCTTGTTATGTATGGAGGTTAGTAAGTCAGTTGCATTTAGTTCCATAAGAAGTGCAGTACGGTAGATTAATAGGTCTGTGGCCTATTCGAAGTAGATAAGTGACTTAGAGGTTCATTAGAAGAGCAGAAGAGGCTATGACAGTTACTTGGTTACAGGACTAAAAATGATTATTACTTTGTGGTCTGAATTATATTGAGTTGTTTCCCTGTA